AACATCATACTATAGTATGTGTCATGAAAATGGAAATAAACATCATACTATAGTATGTGTCATGAAAATGGAAATAAACATCATACTATAGTATGTGTCATGAAAATGGAAATAAACATCATACTATAGTATGTGTCATGAAAATGGAAATAAACATCATACAATAGTATGTGTCATGAAAATGGAAATAAACATCATACTATAGTATGTGTCATGAAAATGGAAATAAACATCATACTATAGTATGTATAATGAAAATGTAAAATTTTTTATTTGTCATGAAAATGTAAACAAACATCAACAAAAAATTAAAAAGTGTCATGAAAGTTTAAATAAACATCATACCAACGTATGTGTCATGAAAATGGAAATAAACATCATACTATAGTATGTGTCATGAAAATGTAAACAAACATCATATTATAGTATGTATCATGAAAATGTAAAATTTTTTATTTGTCATGAAAATGTAAACAAACATCATACTATAGTATGTATCATGAAAATGTAAAATTTTTTATTTGTCATGAAAATGTAAACAAACATCATACTATAGTATGTATCATGAAAATGTAAACAAACATCATACTATAGTATGTATAATGAAAATGTAAAATTTTTTATTTGTCATGAAAATGTAAACAAACATCAACAAAAAATTAAAAAGTGTCATGAAAGTTTAAATAAACATCATACCAACGTATGTGTCATGAAAATGGATATAAACATCATACTATAGTATGTGTCATGAAAATGGAAATAAACATCATACTATAGTATGTGTCATGAAAATGGAAATAAACATCATACTATAGTATGTGTCATGAAAATGGAAATAAACATCATACTATAGTATGTGTCATGAAAATGTAAACAAACATCATACTATAGTATGTATAATGAAAATGTAAAATTTTTTATTTGTCATGAAAATGTAAACAAACATCAACAAAAAATTAAAAAGTGTCATGAAAGTTTAAATAAACATCATACCAACGTATGTGTCATGAAAATGGATATAAACATCATACTATAGTATGTGTCATGAAAATGGAAATAAACATCATACTATAGTATGTGTCATGAAAATGGAAATAAACATCATACTATAGTATGTGTCATGAAAATGGAAATAAACATCATACTATAGTATGTGTCATGAAAATGGAAATAAACATCATACTATAGTATGTGTCATGAAAATGGAAATAAACATCATACTATAGTATGTGTCATGAAAATGGAAATAAACATCATACTATAGTATGTGTTATGAAAATGGAAATAAACATCATACTATAGTATGTGTCATGAAAATGGAAATAAACATCATACTATAGTATGTGTCATGAAAATGGAAATAAACATCATACTATAGTATGTGTCATGAAAATGGAAATAAACATCATACTATAGTATGTGTCATGAAAATGTAAACAAACATCATATTATAGTATGTATCATGAAAATGTAAAAATTTTTATTTGTCATGAAAATGTAAACAAACATCATACTATAGTATGTATCATGAAAATGTAAATTTTTTTATTTGTCATGAAAATGTAAACAAACATCATACTATAGTATGTATCATGAAAATGTAAACAAACATCATACTATAGTATGTATAATGAAAATGTAAAATTTTTTATTTGTCATGAAAATGTAAACAAACATCAACAAAAAATTAAAAAGTGTCATGAAAGTTTAAATAAACATCATACCAACGTATGTGTCATGAAAATGGATATAAACATCATACTATAGTATGTGTCATGAAAATGGAAATAAATATCATACTATAGTATGTGTCATGAAAATGGAAATAAACATCATACTATAGTATGTGTCATGAAAATGGAAATAAACATCATACTATAGTATGTGTCATGAAAATGGAAATAAACATCATACTATAGTATGTGTCATGAAAATGTAAACAAACATCATACTATAGTATGTATAATGAAAATGTAAAATTTTTTATTTGTCATGAAAATGTAAACAAACATCAACAAAAAATTAAAAAGTGTCATGAAAGTTTAAATAAACATCATACCAACGTATGTGTCATGAAAATGGATATAAACATCATACTATAGTATGTGTCATGAAAATGGAAATAAACATCATACTATAGTATGTGTCATGAAAATGGAAATAAACATCATACTATAGTATGTGTCATGAAAATGGAAATAAACATCATACTATAGTATGTGTCATGAAAATGGATATAAACATCATACTATAGTATGTGTCATGAAAATGGATATAAACATCATACTATAGTATGTGTCATGAAAATGGAAATAAACATCATACTATAGTATGTGTCATGAAAATGGAAATAAACATCATACTATAGTATGTGTCATGAAAATGGAAATAAACATCATACTATAGTATGTGTCAAGAAAATGGAAATAAACATCATACTATAGTATGTGTCATGAAAATGGAAATAAACATCATACTATAGTATGTGTCATGAAAATGGAAATAAACATCATACTATAATATGTGTCATGAAAATGGAAATAAACATCATACTATAGTATGTGTCATGAAAATGGAAATAAACATCATACTATAGTATGTGTCATGAAAATGGAAATAAACATCATACTATAGTATGTGTCATGAAAATGGAAATAAACATCATACTATAGTATGTGTCATGAAAATGGAAATAAACATCATACTATAGTATGTGTTATGAAAATGGAAATAAACATCATACTATAGTATGTGTCATGAAAATGGAAATAAACATCATACTATAGTATGTGTCATGAAAATGGAAATAAACATCATACTATAGTATGTGTCATGAAAATGGAAATAAACATCATACTATAGTATGTGTTATGAAAATGTAAAATATTAAAAAGTGTCATCAAAGTAGAAGCAAACATAATACTAAAGTATGTGTCATGAAAATGTAAACAAACATCATAAAAGTATGTTTCATAAAAATGAAAACAAAAGTCACACCATAATAAGTGTCATGAAAATGTGAGAAATTAAAATGTGTCAAGAAATTGTCAATAAATGTAATACTAAAGCATGAGTCATGAACAAGGAAAAAAGTCATACTATCATATGTGTCATGAAAATGGAAATAAAACTCATACTAAAGTATGTGTCATAAAAATGTAATTAAACATCACACTAGATACATATTTTTAAAACAAACATCATCATTATTCTAACACCTTTACCTTTACTTGGGAGGAATTTCAGCCTGCAGTTCACCTATCAGCCAGCAGATGGCACCATGTACAGCCACATTGCATTAGAACAACAAGAACATCCTAAAGGTTTATTAGACAAGACTCCATGACCTAAATCTTGGTTTTTACGCAAATAGATGATGATTTTTGAATTTGATTTCTATCCAGTTTTTCAGGACTTGGCTAATAATACCTGAAGGTAATTTAAAAGACATAAAGTAAAAAACAATAACTTAAATGTAAATCTCCATTTAGCACAGGATTAATCTATATTTGTATCATGTTGTGTGCAAATATTCTGCAAGTCTTGTAAATGTTAATTTCAAACAATCCTGTTTTTAGGTTTCACTTTATTAAACACATCATTTAGCTAAAAAAAATCATCTTTAACCTATAAATAAGGAAGTGGGTATCATCAAAGGCTGGCAGCCAGGGTTAGAGATCTGACACCTCCCTCCGCAGCACAGAGATCTGTCTCTTTTAATTCCACCCTCCTAAAAATCCATCCACCAACCCCTGACCTTTCCTTCCTAATGCCTCAAAATAAGATCAAAGCAACAGGTCCAACCCATCGACATATATATATATATATATATATATATATATATATATATATATATATATATATATATATATATATATATATATATATATATATATATATATATGAACTGCATGGGGGCCAGAATGTTAGAGCTGTAAAATGATACAATGGTATCAACTAATTATTTTATTTTATTTATTATTGTGTTATAAATTTGCTTTTGCAGTTTGAATTTATTTACACCCGAGAGATGAAAGTGGATTTTAAGTTTATTTAATTTTGATAAGAAAAATAATCCCAAAAGCAGTAATGCTTATTTTCCATGTTATTTTCTTTCAGATTTTAACTGGAATAAAAATTTGGTTTGTTAAAATCTACATTTTAAGATAAGAGATAAAATTAATGATTTCATCACTTTATTTACTTTATTAACACATAAGTGTCAAGCTCAACAAGCATAAAACAATAAATGTGTATTGTTAAATGCTTTACATAAAGTGGGCTACGTTTTGGTCACACACAGGTTTTATTTTGTCTAAAAGTGTGTGTGTGTGTGTGTGTGTGTCTAGGGTTGGGTGGGGCTGGACACACCTCTGAAATATGATTGGCTCAGCCATAAACCCATCACTAATTCATGCCTTTTCATTAAGCACTGCATGAAGTTGATATTTTTTGTTTTTGGTATACCTTTGGGTCATATTCTAAACAACTGTAACATTTTAATAGATTTGGGAAAACTTCTTTGAAAGAAGAAATAGACAAAATGTCATGAAAGGATGAGTCAGAAAGGGCCGTGCATAAATGTTTGTGCACATCTTTGCATAATGCATGGACTGTATAGTAGTTTTTTAAATGGATGAAATAGAAAAAAAAAAATAAAATAAAACTACACATTATGTCAAAACCACATAAGCTGTCACTGAATCTATTTTCTGCACTCTGTGTACTTCCTGTGTTTTTGGATTCAAACAGTGAGCCCAAAAACAACGTTAGGAGACAACATGACGTTCATTTATTTATTTTTTCTAACTGCAGATTGAAAGTATGCAACTGAACATTATAATCAGATTTTTATTATGACACCCATAAATAAAAATACAACAAAAAAATCACTACAATAAACAATCTAGTGTAAGTACGATTTGGGGGGAAATAAAAGCTTTTCTTCACCATCAAAGGCACAACATTGATTTTAATGACAACACGGAGAACCTGCAGCATTGAATCTTTTAAATTTTCCTTTTTATTTTTTTTCACACTCCATCAGAGAACACTGAAATGTTACAAAGATGAGTCTGATTCTACATGAAAAGAAACAAACAAAAATAAAAGGAGAACAACCTCTATATCAACAGACGGTGGCTATAGATTGGCGCCACGGTTCAACAGGAAACATACTGCCACAGGAAAAAACAAAACAAAGCACATTGTCGCTGGAAAAGACAAAGGACCTTTGCAAAGCTCTAATGCAAATTTCAAAAACATTTTTCTCAGTTTTTTAATATATTTTTACAACTGACGACAATAAGAGAACAAACCAACAAAAAATAAAATAAAAAACAATAATTGGGCACCTTCTAAGATTAGGCTAAGTTTAGGTGCTGAGGTAGACAAAAACTAAAATTCAAATCATAATAAAAACACTATCTTTTTAATACAGAGCAATATGACTGGCACTTGTGCTGTCACGACAATGGAGGAGAGAAGTAACACAGACAAGCCAGGAAAGGACAGAGGGAAGCTTTGTTACGCTTGGTCCGACAGGGCGATTGGTCCTCAGTGCTAAGATAAAAAAATACAATGTCTTGGTGCTTTGTTACTCAGACAGCTTTAGTCTAGACCTGGCACATGCATGGCGACACTGCATGAAACGGCTAATTTGTTCTAGCAACACCACACCAAAACACATAGTGCCAGCTCCAGGGATGTCATGATTCCTCTCAGACGAATTCCACATCCCCGATTCAAAAAACATCAGCAAACCTGTTGCTGACCAAACAGGCTCGGGCTTATCGAGCTCAAAAAACAAAAAACAAAAACATACATTTCCCAGAAGCCTTTTTAAATGCATTTTAGGGGGAATTTATCTCAAAAAATGTTTATGCTGCTCCACAAATGCTTTAAAAATGCAGCAAAACTAATGGATGCAGATGCTTTTTCAATAGCACGGCAAACAGAAGTACTGCAATGATCACGATTAAACAAATGAACAAAACAAAGCAGTATAAGTGGAGTTTCATGACATCCCTAGGGTGCTGGAGACAACACTTTTATTTTCTTCTGGAAATACAGAAAGGAAGCAGATATAGATGGATATTTTTTGTTGAACAATTTCCATTTTTAGGCACAAAGATACGGAAACATCAGAGGAACACTCAGGGAAGAACTTTATCGATGCCAATGTCGTTATATATATTTCTTTTTTAAACAGAAAAAATTGGCATAGAATATCATTTTATTTTGAATCTGATCTGATTAGTGCATTGTTTCACTGACACACACACACACACACTCACACACCCACACTCACACACACAGTTACACACTCTTTTTACTTTTCCACCCGCACAAAAAAGTAGAAAACATTCAGAGGACGACGATGAGAATAATGTGACTGCACAGGTCTTGCATTGTGGTGTTCAGACTGAACCGTGACTGGGTTTACGGTTTATTATAGTGGGAGGATATTATCCGAGGGGGGACAAAGCCCCCCCTCAGCTCACAGTGTTGGAGAAAAAAAATGGCAAGACACCACGGGACGTGCCATCCCTTCTTTTGTTTTTTTTTTCAAGTACAAAAACAAACTAAAAATTGTCGACAGTCAAGTTTGATTGAAAAAAACTGAATGACAAGTACTAATCAGTCGGTTGGCCAGCATCTTGCCACCGTTCCGCTTCTTAAAAAAAATTGTATCACCCCATTTTTTTCTTTTTTAAATCTTCGACACACACTTTGTAAAATTTAGCGGTGAATAGATTTAGTCTGTCACCTACAAGCAACTGACATCCAGAAAGCAACACTTATCACAACATGTTCACACACGATTTTTTTCTCATTTTCATTTTGTCCAACGATATCAAAGAGGAGCAAGGCATTAAAATGATTCACACCCAGAGAGGAGAAACAAAATAATAAAAAAAGAAATACAAATGTTTGTGCCCTGCTTCAACCCTCCACAAATGGGAAAAGGACTGACACTCAATACAAAAATATCACAATTTTTATATATCAAACTGCCTCTGCTGGCTCTTGTTCAGGAATACACGGTTGTCTGCTGAGAGAATCTATTTTTAACCTTCTGGTTCATCTTTTTTGTTTATCTTTTATTTCGATTTGCAGCTCCAATTGTCCGGCGCTCTGCATCGCTGCAAATACAGCCTGTCGTGTGCGGTGCAGCATTCTTGGTGAACCTTCTCTTTTGTGTCTTTTTTCAGTTATTTTTTCACATTACAAAACTACAACTCTATTCACATATTTTCAAGTTTAAGTTCTTGTTTTTAAACGCTCTTAAAAAGCAAAAAGTACTGCGTCTCATCCGCCACGTTCCTCTTCTTCGTCACTTAAGGCTTCGAAATTGCCCCCCTGCCTCTGCTTTTCGGTCATAGGAGGTGCATGGGGAGACTATAGATAAGAATAAATGTCCATTCTGATGCTTTTCTCATCTTGCCAACCTCTATTACCCTTTTATTTACACTTTTCTTTAAAAACACAACTTAAAAAGCACGAGATGAAGTAGCACTGACAAATAATGCAAAACAAAAACACACTCACAAAATAATGTTTTTGCCCAAAACACAACTTAGAGGTAGCTTTTTTTTCTCTTAACAAAAGACCAAACCTTCCGGCTCTTTAACAAACAGGGTTAATAATAATACCAAGTTTGGTAACAAATGAGCACAAAGAAAAAACCACACGCAAACGTCCCAAACAAATCTCTTCTCTGTGGCACTTAAACTTTCTGCGCTCACGCCGCCTCATCACATTTGCTTTGCATCTTCCGACATGCACTCAGGAACGAAAACAACAAAAACACACGAGGGGAAATTAAAATATGCAAAGGACATGAGGTCACAAAAAGAGGTAATTCAAGTACAATGTGTTAAGATCAAACTCAAGGTCAACAATAAAGAGGGACAAAGCGCACAAACAAAACCACACAGAGTTGGTTTATTCTGCTGTCCAGCAGGTCGCCTCTTTAGCCGTTTCATCCAAACCACGACTTCCCTTCCCGTCTTCTAGACATTCAGATACGTAATTTCCAAGATGATGCTGTCATGATATGTTTGACTCTACGTGCCCTGCAGGTTCAATGCTACATCACAAAAATACCCCCTTAGAAACAGTGACGTCCACACTGCAGCTAATGCTAGCAAGCTGAAGTTTACCAATTCAAGTCAATGAACATTATTTAATGTGTGGAAAATGAAATTTGATTAAATTATTTCAAATCCTGTAGAAAGTTTACCAAAAAATAAATAAATAAAAGCAATTTAGTTCTCTGAACAGCCTCAGTTTGCAGAAACAAGGTTGTTCTGAGTGGATTGACGAGCTAACAGCTAGTCAGAGGGACGCCAGTTCCAAAACAGATTTCTATATCCTTCAAAATAAGAAATACTAAGAAATAGAGCTATTACTGTAAAAATATTCTACAAACCCTTGCATTAATGTTCCCCATACATGGTTATTTGCATAGAATTCTATGATCTGCGTAATAATTTGGTGGAAATTAAAGCTATCTAGTTTAAGTTTCTATATATTTTTGCCGTAAAAAGCCTGTATATGTTTCTAAGTGGTTTAACTGTTTGTATAATAACATTTGCCTGAAACAGTAATTTTTTCCAGGTTAGTCTACTTTATTACTGGCCTCATAGTGACTAGGCACTAGCTTGCTAATCCAGTCTCAAAATATACTCCTTAAAAGATCGGAACAATCTTCTTGTTGCATGAGCAATGTTGGAGCGCCAAAAATGTTGGGAGTCAGAGGTTTCTGATGACAGCATTAACCTGCTACAGCGTGCTTTCCCCCTTTATGCATGGTTCGATGTTGTTAGGGAGTCAAACTTCCACACCATCTCTGACAAACTTCCACAGTCTAAGTCACAGGATTCACACAACGTCCTCCCAGTTCCTCCACTGTGGTGAATGGATACTGCGGTCAAAGCGTTACTGTTTCAGAGTCAGTTCATGTACGCTAGTGTGAGATACGGACAGCCAACGGGATAAATGCGCATGGACAAAAGCGGTCCAGTTATCTATTGCTGAATAGGTGAACAGGCTGAGTTTAATGTGCGATACTGCTAAAGCGAGTTATAATTCTATGAAGGGTTTATATACCTTTGCTGACATCAAACAGAGACTGTTGTCGTAGTTTGTTTTACCTGTGCGATCAAGCCTTGATAAACTATGATGCAGAGCTTAAACAAAGTAGTAATATATGACCAATAAAAGAAAAAGTAACACAAGTTAGCCTTTGGTTCTGTGTGGAGAACCGTAAGTGGCCCGTGGTGACTCAGCTTTCTCCAGTCCTTTTTCAAAAGACGTACAAAACCAGGAAAACTGCTGAAGGAAGCTGGGGAGACTTCCAATGAAAAGCAGCGCTTGCGTCTTCCCTGCTCGGAACCAAATGGGTGCTTGGTTTGCAGCATTCACGCGCTCACTTGTCCAGTCGGACTGCTTCATCTACTGCATAAACCCTCAGGCTCTACATCTGATTCTCAGGGACTACCTACAGCAGCTCCTCACATCTCTAAAACTACTGATTTCTTTTTTAGAACATGTGGACCAACAGATATTAAACTGGGTATTAAAGGGAAGAAGTAACAAAGCAAACACGTTTGAGATTGAAAAGAAATTACAAAGCCGTATCATTCAATACGCCATTTTTGAACACCCAGAAACATTGGTTTGTGGTCATTAGAAGGTCCTTGATGTTCAAGAAGAAAGACCGCAAAGTGAATGAAGACACAGTTAAAGGAAGGACTTGATTCATGAGGTGCAGACCAGATAGTCCCTGAGAATCAATTTTCTCACCAATGTGGCAACGGCATCTGAAGAGCCACTTCCTTGCAGCACACTTGCTTTACGGCGCTGCGCGAAATGACCTGAAATAAGAACATAATTGCAGATGTAGTGAAAGACCCGATGAATCCGAACAATGGTGGAGAATCTCTCCGTATCCGTCTTTCTTCTTTCTCTTTGCCTTGCCACTCCTGCCCTTTTACACAGCTGCTCATCACCACCTTTGCATTAAAAAAGAAAAGAGAAAACAAACTCTTGCTTCGAGTGTCTTTTCGTTGACATTCCACAATCTTCAAGACCAGTGCCTCCTATCCCCTCCGTTACACTCCTCTCACTTCTCAACCCCGTTTCCTCCCTCTTCATTCGTTTTCCCAGTCTCAGACGTAGCACAGGTACAGGTAGGTCTTCTCTATGCGCCAGTCAGCGGGGATGTCTTCTGGCTTGTGACCTTTCATGTGCTTTTGCATGGCTGACAGGCTGGGGCAGTATTCCAGGCAGATGGTGCATTGGTAGGGCGAGGCGCCATTGTGGGTGCGCAGGTGCTTGATCATGGCAGAGTAGTCCCTGGACCGCTGGTGGCACAGCTTGCACTCAAATGGCTTCTCACCTAAAAATGAGGGGATGGGGGATGAAGACAACAATGGTGTTAATCATAGTTTGCACAAAAAGTCGTTATACAACAAAGTAATGTATGACCTGAAGCTTTGACCATACCTCCTAGTAATACAGTCCATAAAAGCCAAAACGTTAGAGGTTACATCATGCTTTCACACAGATTAGCTGAAGTATTTTATACATTTTCTTTTCAATGCAATCCCGTGGATCATTGCTTCAATCACAATAGTTGGAGCTGTAATCAGAAAACCTTGGATCGTCTCGTATCAATAAAGGCCCCATACAACAGAACATACAAAAGGTGTCCTTTTTACCCCTACTTCACACTGGAGGTGTCAGCGGCACGGAAGAGCAGCGGATTGTCACTGACCTCACGCACGTCCCGTGAGGGGTGTGGGACAGCGCAGCACTTATGAGACCCTTCTGGGATCCTTAAGATAGGATCAGGTTCTACTTTTGCTGTGAACCGCTTCTGGGACACGCCGATTTCTGCAGGTAACATAGGGCTAGACAGGAAATAGAACCTCCAGTAAATTTCTAAATAAAAGACTATTGCAGCAACGCAATTTCATTTCTATGTAGATTACATCAATTAAAGTGGCCTAACTGTTATTTACTCCCAGTATCATTCCAGAAGTGCAGCGGTGTGTTTTTCATGGTTCCAATCCTGGCAGTGGAGAGGAACAACATCATATATGACATCAAACAGCGATATCGAATGTGATTTCCTTCTTTTTGGTGCAATGGCGGATGGCATGAACAAATCATAAGCTTTGAAGTCTTGAGGGATTTTGTGATCTTGCAAGTCCAGTGAGGAGCACAGCGGAGAAGCCGCTCTGCAGCGGAGATTCTCCCGATGTGTACTGAAAAGCAGCAAAGCTCGCGAGTAAACCGTTCCACTGCCTTTCCACGCGGTCGATGCCTCCAGTGTGATGTAGGGATTAGTCTCTGCTGAATTCTCACCAAGCCACATAAAAAATGGCGTCCGTAACCAGGATCTCCATCTTCCCCTGACCAAAATGTAAAGTTGCCCAAAAACAACCATTGAGAAAAGTCAATGAAACAATGTGACTTGACTAAAGGAAAAACAAAAACAATCTCATATGTTGGGGTCAAACTTGGGTCTCTGACTAATTTCTTCGCTTCAGATCTAGTTTAAGTTCCACTGATTGGTCTGTACCTAAGGTTTACACAATTTTACGCTCTTCTGTGTCTGTTGTGGTGCCTCAAGGTAGTCCAAATGAAAAAAAAAATACAGCCAAAACTGCCAAAATGACAACATTTACCATTAATTCTGCAATTATCCTTCATTAGCACTGAATATAATGTTGATGCAAAATAACTTTGAGAATCCAAATCTAAATAATTTTAAATAACCAGCTTTAAATATGAAAGAAAATTGTATACCAACCAAAGGCTGATACAACACACAGCTCCTGCCACGTTTAACTCCTGGAGGTGGTATAAATCTAAGTGAGACGTGTGGGGGCTGTTATATTTAACGGCCACATTTCAATTTGGCAACAACGGTCATCCTAAATGTGCCAATGATTTGAGCGATGGCAGGGAATAATCCGCCAGCGCTCAAGCCGACAGACTCAAATTAGACATGTAAATGCTGACCTTTACCAATGGCATTTGAAATGAGCTGTCGGAAGTGATCTGGCCCGGTGCTGGCTGTCACCTTTCATCTGAATCCTCACACGTGTGCATCATCAACACAGCCAACGCGGTACCTCGCTCTGGTTAAGCTGACCTCTGCTCGGGGTCGGGTTATGGGGCTGTTCAGCCAGTAAGCAGCGTGGACTTGTGCGTGATGCTCTCATTGATAAGCAGACTGTAAACAAAGTCCCTCCAAATAACCAGCTAATAATGAATTGCAAATGAGGCCTTGGTATTGATCAGACATTGGCATTTGGGTTGTGTGGAGAAGCGTGGGGTGGGTGGGGGTTAGGCTGCCGATGTCGATGATTCATCAAGCAGCTCCTTTTGTGCGAGGTGGCCTTTGACTGTGAGCTTGTCACTTGCTCTTGTTATCTGCTGTTGCTCTCCAGCTTAACGCAAAGCCCCCCTCCCCCATACAAAAGGAGGAAAGGGTGGACGGAGGGGAGCCAATTATTGGACAGGCTGCCTTGATAGTGTGGCTTAACAGCTGGCTTATTGAATGGGAGATGGAAGGGTGTCCTACGAGTGTGTTTGAGACAAAAAAAGATGGCGAGAGGGTATAAACCGTTGGCTGTGTGCCACCCTGGCGAGAGCTCGTGGTAGACTATACTCACTCAATCGAGTTTCCAGCATGCACTCGTTCTCCAGGGCACCTAGCCTATCACTGTGTCAACATCTTTATGGGGCTCTAAATATACTCGGATCAATACAAAGTCTTCTGAGACTTTCATCTACTGTATCACAGTAACGCTGATATTCATCTAGCCTGTGACTTGCAATGATCTCGGGGTCCTCTGACAGGTACCAAATTTTATATTAGTGCTACAATTTAAAAGTGTCCATGATACCCAAACAAGCTGGAATGAAACTGATTTCCCCCCATGCACCAGGATTTCTTTATCGTCTTTCTGCAACGACACTTCTTACGCTTATGCTATAAATGCTTATTGTAGTAGTTTACATCCTCTAGAACAAACATGTGTAATGCTCATGAACATTTATGCTTTGTTTAATTCTGCAAGTTCATAAAATGATCAAAATGATCCTGGGTTCTTGGTGAGTAGATTCTGTCGCTGTGCATCCTAACTGAATCCATCTGGCAGTGAGCTGCTGTGCCATGTCAAATATGGTGTTCAATGACCAGAAGAAGTGCAGTTTTTAGGATGCTTCGTAAGAGAACAAAGCTCTGTGAATTAGGCTGTTACGAGGGGAATTCTGTTGCTTTTTTCAGTGTTGGGAGTTTGGTAAAGGCAATTTTAAAGCAGCACAGACTGCAATTACTGGTTTTTGCTTCCTTTCTGCTTCACCAGCAACTCTTCTAATTTTACAAATGCTGGTTGTTTTTGGGCGATGTTTGCTGCTGTCATTTGGTTTTGATTTACAACCTATTAGCATGAATTGATCAAATGTTCCACTCAGCATCTCTACTGGGCCACTCAGAGTTCCTACTCCTGTTCCGGTACTCCAAACCCTAAAACATGGCCCGTTCGGCTGGCCCAGTGAACTGGAGTAATGGGGATGTTCCAGTAAAATCACCCTGAAGTTCCAATAATGGGAACACATCTTTACCAATGTCTCATGACACAACTACTTCCTGAGTGTGAACTTGCACAATCATTTAGAAAAGATGGATTCATCTAAATTTAACAGCTAGAGCACAGATACCCCCAAGCTATATTTCAAAATGAACGCGTATGGTCACACTTTCCAAGACAGAGTTCAAACTTACAAAAATAAACTAGTTTACACTCATTCAATGAAATTTCATGAGACAAATCTAATGAAAAGGAAACGTTAATAATGCCATGCACCTATTTTTGTTATCATCTCGTTATAATCTCATCTGTGTTTGCTTTGCTGGTTGATGCACCTAAAACCAAAGAAAGCAGCGAGGGTTTCATGTCACAGTCTGGACTCATTCTGGCTGCAGCACCTGTGTGCACACGGTAGTGGGTTTCCAGCTGGTGCTTGAGGCTGAACTTCTTTCCGCAGCCGTTACATTCATAGGGCTTCTCCCCAGTGTGGATGCGTTTGTGGCCCTTCAGCGTGCTCTCGTCTCGGAAGCAGCTCCCGCAGAATTCACACTCGAATGGATGGTCCCCTGCTGAAAAGTGAGAAGAAAAAAAAAAAGAATTTCACAAAAACTGCTGTTGTGCAGAATGGGAACTTGATCAAATACCGACTCCAGGACAAAGCTAGTAGCCAAGCAGGAAAGAAACAGAAACAGGAGTTTATGCAGCCATCGTTGACAAAGGTGACAAAGATGAACAATTACTATGAACTGATGATCCAAATAGAAGGCTGCATCATTTAGACAATGAAACATGAGGTATTATACTCTAATAGGCACCAATTTTAATACCGCCAGACAAGTCCAACCTCTCTTTTGTCCTCTTTTGAAAATCACCTAAACTGTTGTTGTGTTTGAGGATTAAAACATGTGGGCTGATACGGCTTTTCAACAACCATGAGATGCATTAATGACCATGCAGCTGCTCCCAAAACACAAAGTTTTAAATCTAAAGTAATCAGGTATGTTTTGCAGAGCTTCATCTCTTTTTTTCTTCATTTAACACGAAATAAGAATTTTATAAAGCTTTACTTGTATTTAATAAATTTACAACGATGCAAACTAAGTTTAAATTGGATTTGATATATTTTGCATAATTCAATTCAATTAAATTCAATTCAAAAATACTTTATTAATCCCAGAGGGAAACTGATTGCTGTAGTAGCTCAGAATAATAATAATAATAATAATAATAATAATAATAATAATAATAATCAAGTCATCAAAGAGGTGTTGTATATTACAATGGCTGATGGCAGGAAGGATCTCCAGTAGCGGTCAGTGTTGCAGCCAAACTGAAGAAGCCTCTGACTGAAGACACTCTTCCGTTGTCGGACAGTCTTGTGAAGAGAATGCTCAGGGTTGTCCATCATGTTCTTGATTCTCTGGAGAATCCTTCTTTGCATTATCTCCTCCAGTGGTTCCAGTCGTCCCCAGAACAGAACCAGCCTTTTTCATTAGGCTGTTGAGCCTTTTCAGGTCCCTGCTTCTGATGCTACTACCCCAACAGACGATGGCTGAAGAGATTACACTCTCAGCAACAGACTTGTAGAAGATCTGCAGCATCTTGCTACAGACATTGAAGGACCTAAGCGTCCTCAAGAAGTGCAGTCTGCTGTGTCCCTTCTTGTAAACGGCTTCGCTGTTCTTTCTCCAGTCCAGTCTGTTGTCCAGGTGAACTCCAAGGTGTTTGTATTCCTCAACCACCTCCACTTCTTCTCCCATGATGGAAACAGTGTTTGACTCCACCCTGTTTCTTCTGAAGTCTAAAATCATCTCCTTTGTTTTGTTCAGGTTCAAGGTCAGATGATTGTTTCCACACCATGCCACAAAGCGCTCCACCAGCTCTCTGTACTCAGCTTCCTGTCCATCTCTGATACACCCAACAACTGCAGAGTCATCTGAGTATTTCTGTAGATGACAGGTCTCTGATTTGTACTGGAAGTCTGAGGTGTACAGGGTGAAAAGGAATGGTGAGAGTACAGTCCCCTGTGGTGCTCCAATGTTACTGATCGCCTGGTTTGATGTGCAGTTCTTCAGCCTCACAAACTGTGGTCTGTTTGTCAGGTAGTCTTTAATCCAGGCGATAGTTGAGGCCCCCACCTGTGTCTTCTGGAGTTTCTGGCAAAGTACATCAGGCTGGATTGTGTTAAATGCACTGGAGAAATCAAAGAACATGACCCTCACAGTGCTGCCTGCTTTGTCCAGATGACAGTGGATTGGTTGAAGCAGCTGGATGATGGCATCTTCAACTCCAACTCCATGGCGATAAGCAAACTGCAGCAGGTCCTGATATGTCCTAGTTTGCTTATTCAGGTGGACCAACAGGAGTCTCTCCAGGACCTTCATGATGTGGGATGTCAGGGCAACCGGTCTGTAGTCGTCATTGACTGATGGGCGAGTTTTCTTTGGAACTGGAACAAGGCAGGATGTCTTCCACAGGACTGGAACCTTCTCCTGGGCCAGGCTGAGGTTGAAGAGGTGCTGCAGAATCCCACAGAGCTGCTCTGCACAGGCCTTCAGTACTCTGGGGCTGACCCCATCTGGACCTGCAGCCTTGTTCCTGTTCAGTCTCTCCAGCTGCCTCTTCACCTGACTTCTAGAGACAGATAGGTGGGAGGGGGAGGTAAATGGGGCAGCAGCATCTCCTGACTTGGTTGAAGACAGATTTATAGAACCAGAAGAGTCCATGACTGTGTTAGAAGACAAAAGAGTTGGCGTGTGACAGGAAAATGTTGGATCAGAGGAGGATGGGATGTCTGATTGGCTGGGGACAGGCGAGGAGGATGCTGGGTTTGTTCCTGAACTGAACCTATTGAAGAACTTGTTCAGTTCATTGGCTGTGTCCAGGCTGCCATCTGTGCAATCCTTCCTCTGCCTGTGGCCTGTGAACTTCTTCATCCCTGACCAGACATTTCTGATATTGTTCCTCTGTAGTTTGTTCTCCAGCTTCTTCCTGTATGCCCCCTTGCTGTCTCTGATCTTGATCTTCAGTTGCTTCTGTATACTCCTCAATAATTCCCTGTCTCCCTCCATGAAGGCTCTTTTTTTCTCATTTAGCAGATTCTTCAGTTCACTGGTGATCCAGGGTTTGTTATTAGCGAAGCGTCTCACTGCTCTGGTGGGCATGATGTTGTCCACACAGAAGTTTATATAGTCAGTGACACATCAAGTCATGGCATTGATGTTCTCTTCATATCCTTGGCAGAGAGTCATCCAATCTGTGGTCTCAAAACAACTCTGCAGGGCTTCTTCAGCATCTTGTGACCATTTTCTCACAGTTCTTCTTGTCACAGGTTGCCTCTGAACAAGTGGTTTCTGAGCAGAGAAAAACAAGATTGTGATCTGATTGTCCCAGAGGAGGTCTTGTTTTGGGCATGTATGCATTCTTTACATTTGCATAACACAAATCCAATGTCTTGTTTTCTCTGGTGGAGCAGCTGACAAACTGTTGAAATGTTGGAAGTGTAGCAGAGAGTGAGGCATGATTAAAATCTCAAGATATAGCCAGAAATGCATTGGGGTGCTGGGTTTGTAGCTTAGCAACAATGGAACTGATGGCATCACATGTACTTTCAGCAATGGCTGAAGGTGGAACATAAACAGTTGCCAAGACAACACTGGTGAACTCTCCTGGCAAATAATATGGGTGAAACTTACTGCCAAGAGTTCAACATCTGGGCCGCAGAGACGACATTTCACTGAAACATGACCTGGATGGCACCATCTGTTGTTGACAAGCACTGCCACTCCACCTCCTTTTCTTTTCCCGCTCCTCTTCAGATCTCTGTCTGCTCGTACAGTCAGGAATCCTGGCAGAGAGACGCTGGAATCGGGGATATGGTCCTGCAGCCACGTCTCACTGAAACACATAACACTGCACTGCCGATACTCTGGCTGAGTCCTTGAAAGGCCATGGAGTTCATCCATCTTGTTGGCCAGTGATCTCACATTGCCCATTATGATGGAAAAAAGAGATGGTTTGAATTTCCTCTTTCTCTGTCTCCGCTTTGCTCCCGTTCGACACCCACGCATTTTGCGTTTTAGCTCATATGGGATTAGTGGCTTCAGTTGAGGTATTATTTCAGCCTTACCAACGTTAATCAGCTGCTCCCGACTGTAAACCAGCTCTTTGCCATGGTTACGCAACATTACAAATGCTTAAAAAGTGAAAAAAAAAATGAAAAAATAGCAGTAAAAATCCCCCAAGCTTCACAGCACCAGAAACAGAAAAGTAAAATGTCCAAAAAAATACAGTTTTTCTTGAGAAACTAGAAGAAAAAATGTCCAAGAAAAGACAAAACTTACATATAGTCAACAGAGCTACTCCAACATGCTGCCACCCAGAGCAGCGCAGTTCCGGAATGAGCTTATTTGGATCAGATTTTTATTGTAAATTAATTTCAAAATGCGGCATTTGGTACAAGATAAACAGCTGTTAACATCTGTCTGAGCGTAAGATTAATTGTTTAAATATTCAATATGTTGGTAGTCAGAAACCTTTCATTTCAGTTTCCATTTCTGTACACCTGTCTGAAGCTTCACACCTTGCAAATGTGAAGCTTTTACTTTATTTATGGTGCATAATGACACACCAGCCTCATTTCAGACAGCTTGCCGAGGATGTACAGTATGTGTGCCTTCTGGAAATGAAAATCATAAAGGGCACTGCATTCAGTGCCACAGACTGCAACAGCACAGGTCCCTACCGGGCTGCTGTAATGGATATTCAGATGTCAATGATCAGGGATATTATGATTTGCAGGGAGCCTCTCACCAGCAGGCCGAAGACTAATTGTACTCCCGTGCTGGATGAGGAGGCGCTCCTTGCGTCATTTGCGCCCCTGCGTGTTACAGTCTCCATCCAAGTAACGTGGTGGATATTTATTATGTATTTCACCGCACTGCTGCAGGTTGAAGTCACCATCAATGACCTATGCCTTTCATTATCTGCCTGTCCAAGCAGCAACGTGCCAGGGAATAAATTGCATTTCTCATTATGTACCGCTGCCACTGCTCCGCTGTTAAAAGATGATTTCTCTTCTGTCCACATTATTTATTTATAATTTTATGTAAGTACATACAGTATACATGTGTGTTGTTGGTTTATTTAGGGCGAGCGAGGAATGGAAGGGGAGTCAAAGTGGAATGTGAAATGCATTCGCCCCGTTGTTGACTCTGATCACATCACGGCTTTGTTATGCTTTAATGATGGAAAACGTTTTCCGAGGGATGTTGTTGGACGGATTCACATTAAAGAGACTCGATGGGGGATAAAAGCTAGACAGGGATCGTGCAGAAGACATGGGTATATAGGGTGGTGTCAGTGGGGGCTGGGTGAAAGAAAAAATCAATAAAAGTGACGGTCTTTATTTGTCTGCATGAAGTTATCAGTCGCTCCCGCTGTAAGACATTCAGCCACAGCAGAGATCACAATCCATCACAGAGCTTGGTGGGCTTGCACGATGCTGCAGGAATAATAATTGAGTTCAGATTCACCTGCCTTTAATTAGGGCCTCCTATCAGAGCGGCGA